ACCTGGGGGGGTATTTTGTTATAAGGGTAATTTCACAGAGTCAGTTCTTGATGTTTTTAGCCTGGGCTGATGGTTCATTCTGGTTCTAAGTATTGCTTATGATGCTGGGGTTTTGGTTTGCCCTAGAAACTTGTAGATGTTTTGGGTTTTATTTATCTTCCCCCCCCCCCGTAGTATCTGCATGCTTCTGAAAATTAAGAGTTGATCACAGAGCTCCCTAACTGGCATTTCTATTTCTGGAGTTATCTATTACATGGTTCGAATTGTAGCTAGTGTCATTGGAGGACTGAAATCCTTCAGGCTACTTCTAGGCCATATATCACTGTGATGGTCCCAGAAGTTTAATCTGCTGTTTACAGTTTAAAATAGCACTATTGGTTCTTGGGCGGACCTGTTGCACAGAGCTATCATGATATGCCTTTCACTGGAATTTGCAGTTGTGTCTGTCAGGTTCTGAAAGCTATTTCTCAAAGAGTGAGAGCAGTAAATAGTGTGTAATAGTAAGGAAATTCACTAGACAAAAAGGCGTTGTCTTCAGAGATGCTTCTTTCCTGTGATGGTAGACTTGAACTTAGTCCTGAACTGCAGGTTGTGAAACTAGGACTGGTGCTTGTTTTGACTTTCCATGTTGACCTTCTATTCTTTTGTACTAAAAGAAGCTTCTGTTTTTTAACAGCAGCCAAGAGAGGAGTGTTTGACCTTTTTGACATGCTAAAAGATATATATACATCCTATAGCAGTAATTCAAAGTCACCTAGGTGTTGCTTGGATGAAAGGTTAGTAATCAGATGAGAGAAGATGCCTAGTTGTGTGGTGCTGATCAGGATGAGGAGTCTGGTTTTAAGGTTACAGCACTTTGAACAGGAGCTCTGCACTGAAAAATACCTCTTCTTGCAGGCAGTTCCAGGGCTGCGTCTTTGCACTGGACAGGTGAGCGAGCTGTCAGTGTCCTCTTGCTGGGTCTCCTTCCTGCAGCCTACCTGTATCCTGGACCAGCCATGGACTATTCACTGGCTGCAGCCCTTACTCTCCATGGCCACTGGTAAGCACAATAGGTTCTTCAGAATTAAGAGTAAAGTCTGATAGTCAGGATGACTCCTTAAATCTTAAATCTGTATATGACAGTAGGTCTACTGGCTCATTTCCTGATCTAGTGTAAAATACCTTACTCTCCAAAGTTCTGCGACAGTCATGGTCTTTGACAAGACTAGTCATACCTTGGTCTTCCTTTGCCACTCTTCCTCTCAGTCAGAAGGGAGGATAGACATTACTAAAAAGAAATCCATAAATATTCTTTAGTGTTCTGCACAGCGTCTTACTTAAGAGGGCTTCCTTGCCACTGGCTCTGTAGAATCTTGACGTTTTTATCTTGTAGAAGCTCACCTAAAGGTGTTACTATGTAGGAAAATTCTCTTCTCCTTTCATAGGGCTAGAATATCTTTAAAAGGTAATGCGTGCCATGAATGTTATTGCCTTACAGGTCAGATAATCCTTATAGCTGAACAGAAACTGCAGAGGAGTATTGTATATATTTCTGAGGTGTCTTCTTTCACCTGTTGCTACCTTTTTGCTTAGGAAATCTTGTCCTAAAGTATTGTCCTGGGTTGGAAATAGTGCTTTAGGTATTTGGGTGGTTATCAGTCCAAACACTAACCTATGAGTAGACTTACTCAAGATACCTGAGCCATATTTATCTTGTACCATTTTTTGTAAAGCCTCACTTATTGTGTGTCTACTGCACATCAGCTGTTTCTCACTAATTCTCTTCCTTGTCCTCGGGGACACTGGTCTTTTCCCATGAGGGCTTTTGTGAATTAATGAGTGTGTTGTAAAGTCACAGACCACTTTTTCTGAAAAGTCTTAGCATGGCTCAGTCTTATTCTGCCATATAAAGAACTTATGAAAATCCCTTATCAACAGTACAGTTGAAGGGCAGCTTGTGAATCCTGAGTTGACTGTGATGTATTTATCCACCCTTTTGAATGCTTGAAGTGTGGGTAAGGGCTGGTCACTCATGACCTTATTCTACTGTCCAGTTGTAAAAATAGCTGTAGTAGTTTGGGAGTAGTTGCCTTTCTACCGCTTCCACATCAGGCTTCTGTTCTGTGTATCTAGGGGTTCCTTGTGACTCTTTTCTTGCTTTTGACTGTTTATGGTCTTAGAACCCCATCTAAGTGAAACTGAACTCAGTGTTCACTTGCACTGACATCTGCTGCAGCAGGACTTTGAATTTTACTACATCACTAGTGTGTTTTCTTTATCTGTGGGACACAAGTCCTTCACCTTCAGGTCAGACCAAGGCAAAATCTTAGGAAAAAAATTGTTGCATTAGATATGGATCTCTTTTTAACCAGGTTGACATCTGTCATTGCACAAAGCAAACAGAATTGTCATTTTGTACAATAGAACTTGTACAAAATTGTACAAGAGAGCTACTGTGTTAGTTTAATAGCATCCTCTGTCTTCCTGTTGCTGGATAGCCTAAACCTGGATGAGAGTTCACTTGTAGTCCGTCAGATGTCGAAAAAAAAGTCAAAGTATCCTGATTTTTTTGGTTGCAACTATTTTTTAATCTAAATACACATCCTGGAGTCTTCTGTGTATTTGTGACAATGGCTGGTCCTAGAAGAACACCTTGCTGATGAAGAGGGATGTTTCCTTTGGTTTCTTTTCTTCAGTCCTTGGAAGTCTGATAATGTTCCCAGTGTTTCTTGGAGGCAAATTCTACAGATTCTGTTATCTGAAAGAGCTGTGTTTCCTCAGTATCATTAAGAAACCTCTGAGCCAACATGTATATTTTTTAAAGTAGAATAATGGAGTGAATTTCATTAAGGAATGTGCTTTCCTGATTTCATCTTTTTTCTTCTTATTGTTCTGTAGGGGTCTTGGACAGGTTATAACTGACTACGTCCATGGAGATACACCTATTAAACTGGCCAATACGGGTCTGTATGTACTGTCGGCCATTACCTTTGCTGGCCTCTGCTACTTTAACTATCATGATGTTGGTATCTGCAAGGCTGTTGCTATGCTGTGGAGCCTCTAAGAAGTGATGAAGTCCCTGACAGACATGATTGTTCACTGCTGCCTCTGCTTCATCATATTTCTATCAACGTGTTTAATGCGAAACAAGTCGATAACCAGGGATCCATAGTATGTACATACTGCAGTAAGTTCAGAACTAGACTTTTAGAAATAAATATCCAACAGCAGTAAAGATGTTAGAAAAGAAAAAGTAAATTTAAAGTGGATGAACTCCAGGCGAGAGCGAGTTGATTTAAGCTGCACTGTAGATTGGGAGGGATCAGTGGCAGACTTACATAGCTGAAGCTAACTTTCCTTGTAATGGCAGTTCTAATGAGTGTTTTTCTAAAACAGCTCTTGTTTGGTTTCCTACTTTGTAAAATTAACTTGGCTTGTGGAAAATTAAACTGTTATTTCTGACATCACAACTGAACTGTATGTAAGGCACACTGTAACTCTTTGGACCCTGAGAGTTCATACAGAAAAGGGAATATTTTTTTCTTAATCCATACAATAAAAAATTTACAGAAATTGTGTCTGCTTATGAATGTTTTTTGCTACTTTTGGGTTACTTAAAATGTTTTCTCTGCAGATAGTTATTGCCTTTCTTTCTCCTAAAATCAATTTCAAATACTAAATCATATTGTTACATTACTGCTCATACTGCCACTCCGAATTACTTCATTTCGATGTTATAAAACAAAACACAGGTGACTTAGTACAACCTTAATGTCCATTAGAAAATACAAAATTGACTTAGAAAAAAATACTTTTGCAGATTAATGTTACGAGCCATAAACAGCTTGGGGCTTTCATAGTTTCCCAGGAATGTGTGTGTTCATCTACAGCAGTTGGAGGAGGTTTATTTTCTAGATAAACACTGGTACACATTTTCCTGTGTGACTGAAAAGACACCTTTCTGCTTGACCTGAAACTGACAAAGTGTTCTTTTCTATGTCTTCATGTTTTAGAGAATTTAAGGGGGGGAAATGGTATTCTGGGTTTTAACTTCTCAATCTTTTTTGACTTTCGCAGTAGTAAGAAGAGATTAACTGTTTCCACATTCTCATGGGACTTCTGTGGTTCTCTGAATAGTAAGAGGAAATGTGGTGTTACTGCCAGTCTGATTATGCAATAAACAGAATTAATTACTGTTTGGATTCTGCAAGACTTTCTGATTTGAGTTTTTTTTGTTTTCGTTTAATTTGGTTTGGAATTGTTATTTATGTGTTTTCTTAGGTAACCATGGGAAATAGCATGCAGGTGGCCACTTTTGCTAATCTTGTGATCAGAATTGAGGTGGTTGCTTCTGTTTGATGTGGTCTGATTTAGATAGCAATGGTAACACTCTTTTGTCATAGGAAGATGCACATGTATGAGTCACGGGTAAGTAGCTCTGTACAGTCTGAGCATGTATTGTAGAAAGCATTTGACATTTACTCTTTTGAGACCAAATACAAGATGCATCTGTATGTGGTATTGTGGACAATGTCTGTTTCATGTCATTTCATCACTAACCTATAATTCATTGTTAACTTTTATGTAAGTCCCCTTACATAAATGCATTTTTTCCTTTGCCCCTCTGAGGACATCCTTATTAGAACTTTAATTGTTCAGGTAAGTATTTTTAAGCAAAGACTTCCAGTAAGTTAAAAGTTGTTTCTGCTTCAGTTGAAGGTGAGAATGTCACCACTGTGTAACTGGGATTGATGAAGATGCTCAGGAAATAATCTGGATATAAAAGAGTGTTCATTGGCCAGGTGCATGTTCTTCTTATGAAATCTTATTTTAAGTGGTTTTCTCTCCCTCCCCAAAATAGGTTTACCTCATCTATGAGTCACCTAATTAAAAAGCTGTTTGGTCAACAAGTGGTTAAGGGTTGAGGGATCAAACCATACAGGACTATACAGGCATGCATATTCTTGTTTCCTCCATGTGTAATACTCTTCTGACTGGAAAACATTCTGCTGCTTTTTGCAAGTATTTGAGTCTGTTTTGCTTTGCAAGATACTTGTTTTTGTACTGACTTATGGTAGGGAAAAACATAAAACTGGCTTGCCTCAGATAAGGAAATAATATTTCTTTAATAAAAAGCCAGAATATATTTTAAGACTGTTACAGTATGTCATAGGTTATGACTTTCATTCTGATTGAAGTTAGAAACTTATCTTCATGGTTTCATCCACTTCATCTTCTCTTGACAGCTTTTTCAGAATTAATTTTCTTAAGTAGCCTTCTTTCTCAAAGGCCAAGAACATTCCTTGTTCTAGTGAGTATTCAAACTTAAATGCTCTGGAGCTGCAAGATGTAAATGTCTTTTTGAAAAAGATTATGTTACTTTCACCAGGAATGTCTTTGGGAACTTCTCCTTCCTGAGGAAGAAAAAGGGAATGGGTTAGTCCCAGCACAAGACTTGAGCAGTTTTGTTTCAGTTCACTGATGTTTGAATTCTTCATTTTGCCTACTTACGTGTACAGAATGTATGGAAAGATGATACTTACTCTAAATCGAATTGTCATTTTTCCACATTCCTTCTCACAACACATGTAATAACTTTTATCTTCTACCTGGATGCTGAATGCAACAGGCATCCCTGCTGAAGGTGTAGTAGTTTTGTAATAGTGAATGTTGAAGTGCATTCCCTTGCCTAAATAGAAATTGTTTATTATTAACAGTTTGCTCAGGAGAGAGTGGCAACAACTTAACTGTGTTATGTCTTACCGTTTCACTGTCAACTGGTGTCTTCTCAGGATACTTTTCTGTCAGGAGAGCCAAAACTGAATTTTTTACACTGCTGGTAGCATATATTTGAGTTTCTGCAGTCATTCAATAACCGAGATTTTGGATTTGTAAGAAGGCATGTGAACTTGCCAGCCAGCACGGCTAGGATGTTCAGACCCTCTTACGTGCATGCATAAAGTGAAAATTAGATTTGTAAATAGTCATCTGTAAATCAGATTATATCTGTATATGTATGTTCAGCAAATACAGTTCTGAATTGCTGAGCTTCCTCCCCACCCCGAAGTCAAAGCCAAAACCACAAGTATTGTGTTTACTGTCAGAAGAAAGTAAGAGCTTTCAGTGCTCTACTTAGTCTGTTTAAACCTAAAATTGTTTCTGGATTATTTTTTTTTTTGTTATCCAACATATACCTCCCCGCCAAAAAAAAAAAAAAGACATTAAAAGCTTAGTTTGTGATCACACTTAACCAAAAAATCAGCTCTCTTAGCTTTATTCTTTGAAATGACTTTTAAGTCTTTACTCTCTCACCATTGAGTTAGTGAGCGCTAAGAACAAAAGCATATCTAGAATAAAGCCGCAGTGCAACGGTTATAGTAAGTATTTGAAAAATAGTCTACCAGATTTCATCTCCTGATCTGTCACGTCTTCAAAAGCTGCCATGTTTAAATCTGGTCGAACCACAAGCAACTGGCTATTGACATTTCGAAGGACTCGGTGGAGAGTTTTTTCCTTACAGAGGGCATCGCACTCCAGCCCTGTACAAATGTTAAGGGAAGAGGGTCAAATATTTTATCTGAGGAGACTACCTCAGTTCTTAACAGTGTGCTACAGGCTTAATCTTGTCATTAAAATACGAGGTGAAACAAGTTCTTAGAATGGCAATCTCAAACAAAACTGAGGCCATGTCATTCTTCCTACCTCTGGCTTTTCAGAAGGATTTCCCAGAATACAGCAGACTGTATATATATATATATATATATATATATATATTTACAAGCAAGAGAAGCTACCATATCTGTTAATGAGAGTTCAGAAGCAACAGTTCTCTCACCCCACAATTAGAATTGCATTATAAAGGTCCTTCTGTACCTTAGGAAGAAATAAAGGAACTTTGGCTTCAAAAGGAGACTGCGAGCTGTAGTGCTCACTTTTACAGTAGCCATTATCAGTTTGTAAACTTGCTCTCTCAGGCACAGTAAACATTTATGGGTTAGTAAGTGTAAGCAGGTTAGTTCACATAAAATTGATAAGTTAATAAAAGCTTTCATCTTACCATCATCATCTTGGTTCCAAGTGAGCAATGAAAAAAAGGAAAGAAAAAACACCATTAACTTCTGCCCCCACAAAAGAAACCGTTCTACCCAGTTTTGTTCTGCAAGACTGGCAGCCAGCCACCTACACATTTCCAGTTGTACTCCCCATTATCACTAACTCACCAAGCTGAGCTGTTCTAACTACAGAGTGCATTTAATTTGTGAGTGTAACAAACAGGGTGATGAAACCACCAGTCATTTGAGAACTGGAGTTACCACCAACCAAGAGGTATGCAGAATGTTTTAGGGTTACTTAAGGGTGAGCAGCTCAGGTCAGTTTAAGCCTATAACCAAGGAATAAATGGTATATAAATTTTTGGTTTTGTCAGCACCTTTAAGTGAGCAAAAGGACAAGAAACAATCATTGCAAATGGCTTTTAAAGAAGAGACTGTTTTCTAACTAACTGTATCGTATGAGATAGGAAGTCACCACTTCTTCCAGGTCCACCCCACAGTATTGCAACCCTTCTGAGTGTCCTTTACAGGAACATACTCTATGAAGCACCAGATATTCCGCTGACTCAGGTACTTGGCTAGGAGTATTTCAGATGGACCTGTTAACACACTGGGACAACTGTCTGAAACTCAAATTCTTTTTGAAGTGAACAACCTGGCTCCATAATCTAAGAATTCTTCTTCTAAGTGGGTGGGGATTGAAAGTGCTTTGAGGATCGCTTGGGTAACAAGGGGGGAAAAAACAGGATTCCACAAAAACAGGGATGCCACCCCAAGGAAAGGACTGAATTGTGTATCAGGTTTTAATCTTCCATGCAGAAAGAAGACAGTGTGTCCCTCCCAGCAGTGGGTAGTAATTACCTGCAAAATAGAGGCAGAAATTTTCTCCAAGTTGTACTGCACACACAGTCTCTTCGTTCATCTTCACTCTACAAAAACATATGGAGAGGATTCAGTTAAGAACAATGCTTCTTAATCTATAAAGCAAGGGACTTCTTGAGCCAGTTCTCTTCTAGTGCACAATACTACAATAGAGCTGGCATGTTTCACTGCCTGTTAAATTGCTTTTTCAAATAATTGGTCTTCTGTTGCTTTTACCATTTTTCAGAATAACCTAGAGCATCCTTCAGGTTCTGTTATTTTACAACACTTTTAATTCTTACACGATGTTACACAGGAGTAAATAATAACTCACTACCATTTTCTCTTTCTGTGAGAATGATAATGTGTAGCTCCATGAACATACTTTGTCAAATCAGTTATTTTCTCTTGTGTCTGGAGAAGTTGTCTTACTATTGCACAGTCATTTGATTTTCTGTTTCTAATTTTCAAATGGGAAAGTAACTAAAACTGGATTAAGCACCCTGTTACTGACCATTAAGCAATAAAAGTTGTATTAAACTTATACAGACTCATCTTTACGGGTTCCCTCCATAAAACACAGAACTTCCAAAAAACCCCTAACTTAGTCCACCTTAGACTGCTCCTTGGAAAGGCCTGTGTTTTTTGTATCTGGAGCTGGAATTCTTCCTATAGAAGAATACCTGTATTGACTAGAATTGAACAGTAAAGTCTGGTATTTCAGCAACTGTATTGCCGTTGGGATGGTTGCCACTGGAAGGAGTAATTCTAAGAAATAAGCACTCAATTAGTTTTATTTTAAAACTGATAGTGATTGTGATGATGTAATCTTCAACATTAAAAATAGCATCTCCTACCTGTAAAGAAAAATTATAAGAATTATAATATGAAAGAGAAAGATGCAGCAAAGAATTTAGTTCTTCTCTGGCGGTAAACAGTTCTAAAATGTCCTATGCCACTAATTTTGTGAAATGCAGGTTGCACTTCCTGTTTCCTTTAGTCTGTATCTTAGTAAGTTTTTTGTTCGTTTTCCTAAAATGCTTTCTGCGTATGGGTGTTCTTCCCTGGTTTATTTATGTTTTTAGAAATAAAGGCATTTTCGTAAGTAGTCTAGACTAGTAAGTACTTCATTCAGTCCTACTAACTGGCAAGGCGTTCTTTCCCCTTGTACTAGCCACAGAAATAATAACTGTAATAGCTCTTAAACTGTTAAAGCTAGCTAAACAATGGGAAGATCTGTGTCCAGCACTGGGATATTATTGTGCAAAGCTTACTTCCAAGGCTCTTTTTCACTATTTGGAAAAGACTTACTGTACAGAACAAGGAACAATGCCAACTTAAATAAAAAAGCACTCTTCAACCTTAGGGACTGGGGTAGGGAATCACAGTGATTTGTTTCCTTGTCCCTCTAGTAGAGCACTTTGAAGAATGTATTGAGAGTGCTTTTTTCTCATCCTATTTTTATATGGTCTATAGTTCTAGATGGTCTGTGCAGAACAGGTTCATAGCAGAGGACTGCATCTTTGTTTCCAAACATGCATACTGAAGCCTTTGAAATTAAATATAGCATTATCATAACAGTGCATGCCTCATATCTAGTGAAGTGAACCAAGCAGTGTAGGATTACTTTGTCCTAGACTGCAGAGGAGAAGACATAGGCAGGACTTACCAATGCATGATTAAAGGAGAAGGTGGCCCTTGGTTTAAGTGCGGGAAACATAAACCGACCAAACTTCTTCCCCCGATGTGTAGTAAAAGACGGTTACATCTTTTACCAAGCGCGTTTGTAAGCTAAACAGGAGCTTTTAGCTGACTGTTCGAGGGACTCTGTAATAACTTGCCCCGCAGGGAAGAAAAGGAGCCGGGCCGCCCTCCGCTCGGCGCCTGTGTTGGAGCGGAGCCCATCAGGGGTGCCAGCCCAAGGGGAGGGTCAAGGCTCTGCCGCTTGCTGCAGCCACAAGAAAGGAACAGTTGCCGATCCCACACAGTAGTGTTGTTCATTAGTAGCAAGTGATTTAGGATTATCTCCTACCCTCGCTGAGCGGCGCACCCTGCACAGGGAGGCAGCAGCGCACAACCCTCTCCGCCCGATGCGCTTAATCGCGGGATGCGGCGCTCTGCCCGGGCGGGGCTGCTCCCAGAGTTTTGAGCTGAGGGCTAGGAGCCGGCTCCCGAACAGAGTTCCCCCTTCCTACCCCTGCCGCTGCACTGCTGGGGCGAAGGCAGAGGAGCAGCGGTGATCCTTACCTCGCTCCTCGGCGGGCTGCGGCAGAAGGATGCGAGACGGAAGGGAGAGCGCTGCCGGAGGAGGGGCGGGGACCGCCGGCGCCTGCTCCCGCAGCCGGAGCCCACCCTTTTGGCGATCCCGGCCCGTTCCTCCCTCTCGTTCCCTCGGGCGACAGAGCCAAAAGCCGCTCGGCTGGGTGTCCCGCACGGTCGGGACAGTAAGGCTTTGCCCAGGCAAGCGTCGCTGCCGTGTCACCTTCACGAGTTCATACGAACGGGGAGGAAACAGATCTCTGCTCTGTTAGAGCGGTCTAGTGAGGGGGATTTTGTGGCGGCTTGCAACACGATGCGACAAAATAAGCCGACCGAACAAACTGCAGGGAAAATTTTGGACTCTTTCCCCAGATATCTGTCTACGTCTGCAGTTATTCTGCAGCACTTCCCCTGCTGGGTGGAGAAAGCAAATCATGCACATCGTGAGGTTACAAAGGAAGCTTTTTGCGACTTTTAGCTCACACAGATGTCGACAGAGGACACGTTTCTACACCAGCGGATTGCAGCCGGCTCGCTTGGTCCATAAAGTCTCTGGGAGCCAGACAACCGGGTACTAGCCGTCAGGACATAGACTTCCTCTTTTCCCCGCACTTGCAAACTGCTCGTAAACATTGGGTCCCGTTGGGGGAAACCCGTTTAGCATTGAAAACACATAGCGTATATCTAGCTCTCCATAAGAACACCACCAAAGAATATACCATTGGTATCTGCTGGAAGACCCTCAAATTGTTTTCCCTCCCTTTATATGTAAGTAGCTGCAAGGGAGGAATTTAGGTTCCTCTCAGGGAAACAGACAACCAAAATCTGTGCCACGTAGTTGAAACACCATTAATAGATAGGTCCTATTTTATCAGCTGTAAGTTGTTTCCCAGGCATATATTAATTGCAAATAAATAAAACGGCAATAGGTGTTGCTCTCAATTGCTGCAGCTCTGTGATGTTTTTTGGAAGTAAGTCCTGCAGTTGGTGTTTGTGGAGTGCTTAATGCAGTAAATATTGCTGTAATGGCAAACTGTGTAGTGATGGGACAACTAGGGCCATGAAGTACCAGGTAGATCAACTCGGGAATGAATAACCGACCAATGTTTTGTATCATTTGTAAACCTTGGCAGTGTTAACTAGAAGCTTGGTGCATCCATTTTCTGTTTATCATGTTGATTAGCAAGGCATTAGGGCATTCAACCGTGTAGCTCAATGGGCAAATTGAAGAGTCTCAAGTTTTAATACTGGGCTGTGGGAAAAAAAAAATCAAACAAAAAACAACCCCTCTCAAACTGCTAAACCAAGATAAAACCTAAGACCATAAGATGTTTTCTCACCTGTCTGCGCACCTACTACTGTCGCTGGGGACAGAGGGGAGGTTTAATACATACCTGTAGGGAATGTATTACTGTCAGTAGGATAAATCCAGGGAGGTAATTTTGAGGTCTAAGGTACGTCTTTCAAGGTCACCTGAACTAATAATCTTCCATATAAAAGTACTGTACATTGTACTAATAACTGGATTTAAGGCTGCTCTAACCACAAGGAGCATTGTATTTCACTGACATGTTCAGACAAAAAATGTGTGCTGCAGAAATTTGTCTTCTTTCTTTAAAGCTCCTGAGAGAAACTAATGAAAATGATTCAGAAGAATGAAAAACCAAAAACCAAAACACCCCAGAGAAATCCAGGAACAGAGTAAAACCTCCTGTTTATGAGAGATAAGCAAAGAACAGTACATTTATGGCAGCTATTGCTTCCAGATAAGAAATCTATATTGCTATTTACAGACACCCACTTACACTGATTGAATTTCAGCCAGCAATATTACATCATCCCCTTTCAGCTTCCTGTTTTGTTACATGGCATTCAGTACACGTGTGGAGTTGTGTTTACTTAAACCTGTATACCAGAGAGATATAAAAATCTGATTTAAACACCTAGATCTAGCTGATTTCAATATGCAACAACTGTAATCCTACCATTCCTTTTGGCACTTTATTTTAATGGTTAGTTCTGATGGGGAAGTGTGGGGGGAAATCCTTCTAAATTTAACTGGCCTCTGGCTCTGGTCTCCCATTTCTGTGCTTTTTCTTGAGAGCTGTTTCGTAACAAATAGTTCCTTCCTGTGAAGTACAATCAAATTGCCTCTTGGTCTTTCTGAACTAAAAAAGCAGCCTCAGACCTAATATAACATACAGTATTAACATAAATATCTATACAATTGTTGAGAATGAAATGAACTTGGCCATGGCAGCATACTGTTTCTACTTTGGGGAAGTATTTAGGTCTTGTTCTTTTAGTGGTTTAATTTCTTGTCCTGAGTTTTGACTTTCAGAGCCTGTCTGGGTAGCGTATGTAACGTTAAGGCCCTTTCTGCTCTTAAAACCAGAAATTAAAGTTGAAAAACAAAACCGAGAGGATTTTGGAAAAGTAATAACTTGATATAGCATTTACTATTTTTGGCTGACAACATGAAGTGTAATACTGGAAGAGCTCACCAGAATCACTGGGTTTAGTTTCTTCCTGTTGTAAGCAAGCCACCTCACCGTGTAATCTGACTCAGTCATTTCTTGGAGAAACCAAATACAGTTTACTTACAGAAGTGAAGCACGGCATAAGGAAAAAAAGTCTTATTTTCCATTGCTTAGAGAAAAAAAAAAGTAGATCTTGGCAGTTGTCTAATTTTAGTGACAGTAGTCTTTCATATTTTGCTAATTGATGGCTTGCCTTTTGAAACGGATCCATTCACTGTCATCCCGAAACGTTCCAGTGATTCACATTGTGAACCGGGCACAGATGCTTTAAAGACGATATACGACTGGAACTGAGTGGACAGGGCAACACTTTAGCCACAGGCAGTCTCATGCTTTAACGTCTAGCTGGGGATGGAAAGCTTCTTCCTGGGACCTCTGCATCAGGAAGCGTTTTAGCGGGGGAGCCTTGTTCTCCTCCGCTGGCCTTCCAGGCTCCCCGACCCCCTGCAGAAGCAGCCTGCGCGGCCTGCACCCACCCTCCCCGGCAGCCGCCCCGAGCACAGCGGGGCCGCAGGCGGCCGGGGCCGGGCGCCAGGGCGGGCTCCAGTTGCCTCAGCGGCCGGGGCAGCGCCGCGGGACGCGTGGGGAAGGCATCGCCCGCAACTGGCCCGCCGCGGCCGCCCTCCCGCGCGCCGGCCTTTAACGGCCGCGAGGACCGTTAACCGTGAGGAGAGAGGTCCGGGGAGGGGGGGGGAGGCTTCCGCGGCGGAGGGGGTGCCCCCATGTACTTAAGGGCGGCGGGTACTGAGGAAGCATAGGGAGAACAGGGAAGGAGGGACGGGCTGCTTTTAAACTAGGCAGAATCGGCCTTCGCAGCCCGAGGCCGACCTTGAGCACCCTTCAGCACCCTTGGGAGCGCCTTGGCCCAGGCCAGCCTGGTGCTCGGACCCGCTTGTCTTCGGCGCTGATCGGTTCTCTCGCCATGCTTGGAGGCTCTACCTGCCTCCAGTGAGGAGGATAGCTCTGTTGCAGAGGAGCTTAAAGAGGTGCTGGTTACAGGTTTTATGCATTTTTATGTAGATATGATTTCCAGACGCACAACATAACCACTTACCAAATACAACGTTGTACTTCTGACGAGGCAACGATGACAAGCAACACTCAAAAGCCTGATGAGAGTAGAAGTAAACGTAAAAAAGAGATGGAGGTGAGCCGTGCTGTGTGAGGGAGGGAGGATCTGGACCACTTTCTGGCCCCAGGGCAGCAGTACAACATCCCCAGTACCATGGCCTTCACTGGCATTACAATGGGTTCCTCTCACCGTGAGAGAGGGCAAAGAGCTCCATGTCCGTTTATGTAGGTCAGCAGAAACACATACGACTTTCATGTGTAAGGAAGCCATACAGTTTCTCTTAGTGTTTGAAGAGCAGTGAAATCGGGCATGCAGTGCAACACTGCTATGCAGGACTTAATGGAGAATAAACTTCTGAAGTACAGCAGCTTTTACTGCCCAAGCTGGCACTTCCCACCCACTCCCACAGACGCTGTGCCTCTTCATGATGCACGGTATCTGAAAACAGCCTTTCAGGGTCCTTTTATTTTAACTCAGTTAAACTCTACCTGTGCTGATCTTGTTTTAAATCCTAGAACCTGTATTTTATTTTATTTTTTTTGTGCTCTATTATTAGAATGAAGTTTCAGAAAATCCTGAGTTGTCTTCCCTTGACAAAACAGATTTGGCTCTTTCGGAGGGCTCACAGTCCCTTTGCAAACCTGAACAACTGGAGAAAGTTTTAAATGGTGACGTATAAAATATGCTGAAAGTAACTATGTGGTTACCTTATTTAATGCTGAGATGAGAATTCATGCAAAGGTTTAAATAAAATTACTTTTTTTCTTTTAACAGAGATGAACAAGGAAATTACAAACTTGTTATCAAAATATGCTCACATTTTAAGGCAAGTTGACTGTCCTATTTGTACAGCACTTTTCTAATTTCTCTAGATAAGATTGATTACTGTGGCTGCAGTTTAGAGAAATTAGCACTGAAAACCATCAAACAGATTTTGACAGAAAAATGCTGGTTTCTGTTACAACTGAGAACTAATTTGGATGGAAACCGAGTATTGATCGGCAACGCATTTTTAAGAAAAGCATAAAAGCACTTCTAGGAATTGAGAATGTTAATGGCATTAACTGATTTTAACTACAGATTTTTTCAATTAAGTGAGAGAGCAGCGATGGATGCTTCTTATGTGCAAGAACTTGATGGAATCTTAAAAGAAGCGAGGACCATAGAAAACCACTTAAAACAGAAACGGGAGAGTCTGAAACAGAGATTCACTGTGATTGCAAATACTCTGCAAAGCTAAATGGAGTTTGTCAGACTGCAGAAATGCAGAGCAAAATTTGTAGTATATTTTATGTATTAAAATATAAACTATGATGAGTGCTGTGATGTGTGTTTCGTAAATGTCTTAGGTAAATATTTCCAGCAGTTCAGGAAACTTTCAACAACTTGAACAGCAATTTAAATAAGTAGATTCAACACATAGGGTAATGGTAATGAGTATAAGACAATACTAAATATCCATTTTAAATCCTATGGCTCCAAGGGATTCTACACATTAAACCATCTTTCCTTACTTGTTGATCCTTTGCTTAGGTTGTCCCTGTGATTCTATTACTAGACAATAGTGGAAGCATTTGAAAATGAAAGCAGAATAAATTTTGCATCGCTTGGCTTTAAGGCTGTGGAATTTCAATACACCTGAATTCGGGAGCAGCCATGGTATTTCTAATGTCACTACTAAGGATGTTTTTTTCTTTTATTGTCACAACCACTCTTTTGCTCTAGAATATAGTGTAGAAACACTTCTACGAAACATATAATTTTGTGATGTAAGCAGAACAGGACTTCAGATTATTTTATATTAGCAATTTTCTGTGGGTTTTTTGTTTGCTTTTTTTTTGTGTTTGGTTTTATCTTTCTACTTTAGAAACTGTTTTGGTGCTAAAATCTTAGTAGAATGTACTTGCAGCCTTATTTCCATTTTGTCTCCATATATAAATAAAATTCCAAAAAATCATCTAGAAATAGGGAAACTCTATTAAGAATACTACTCTGGGAAATGTATAAAGAAGTATAAAGTCTTAATGTGAAAATATATTTTAATACTTCTAGAGATTTCAACTGAAATCAAAGCACATCAACAAAACTTTGCTGGTAATGTCAATAAATAACTAGATAATCTTAATCTCAAATTACACTGCCCTTTTATTTTGTTATTTAAATACATCAGTATTGTTTGCAGTATATCCAATTTATTTAAGGAGGCTTCTGGAGTTTTTGTGAGCACTTTTTCTTTCTTGTCATTTGACTCTGTTAATAAAGATGAAACATAAAATGTACAAAGCATAATTAGTACAAATTTTGAGGCTAATGTAATAAAGAAAAGTGCTGGATAGTCCTGTTGCTAGCATAAGATATATTTATATCTTTACCCCAGTACTGTGTATTAATTTTCTGTTTAAATTATTTCAGACTTAATCCTTCATTCCCCCTTTTTATTACATAAAAGCCACAAACAAATGTGCTACCTGACAAACTGATAGTATTTAAAGCAATTAAGGAGAGAAACTGACATCTAGGGTGAGATTTTCCTAGGTATTTAGATGCCTAAAGATGCAGATATGTACTTAGTAGGATTTTCAAAGTGCCTAAGCATGTAAGCGCCTTAGATGCTTAGGAATTTTTGAAAATCCTGTAAGGTGCCTATCTGCATCTTTAGCATCTAAAGACTTTCAGAAAAATCACCTCACTAATCTACACCATATTTTCCAGTCTCTTCCTTTTTCCTAATAATCACATCTCATCTTGTAATCAGTCTTGGTAATGCTCTTTAAAAGCAGAAAGTGGGAGAAAAATATTTTGGAAGTTAAATTTTCTAGAATATTTTGCTAAGTTTTTCTAAAATCTGTGATCATCTATAATGATGACAAAAAGCCATTTTAAATTGTTATCTATGAAGTGTCTCAATTTAGAAATTTACCTGTAATTATTTACATAAGTCTTTAAAGGAAAAATACATGAATTTCATGACCATTAAATGTCTGCCTGTTGTCAGAGTCAGAAGCCGGCTACATTTTATCTGTTTGTGCTTGTGAAAATTATGCAATATATCACCAGTATTTAGATAACTTAGATTTAGTTTATTACCTACTATATCCCAGTTGAAAACCTTCAGTTCTTGTATGAAGTATTATTAAGAAGCAGAACTTAGAAAACTAGTGGGTGACATAAACTAAGTTTCTTCCCTTAGGGCATCAAGACGGTACAGACATACAGGGTTACTCTTGCAGCAGTTTGCTCCATTTAAAAACTTCATAAAATGCAATAAAATTTACTAAAACTATACTTCCTAGAAGAATGAAGAACTGCTTAGTCTGGCATGCAAGTTGTTGACCGTTTGTCTACCCTGCTAATGATGTTTCTGCACTGATTGCTTCTCTTGGGTATTTTGATATGTCTTGGGAGAAACATACCGAATTTTGTACTCTCTCCTGATGTGAAACTAGAAGTTCGTTCTGAGGAATGAGTACACATGAAATCAAACTGTCACCAATGCCATCAGTATCCGCTTTCCAGTTTTACTGAAGGAGGTTTGAACAGAAAATTAATTGGCTTTAAAGCTGCCAAATCTGATCAGCAAAGCTCAGCTGGTCACTATGTTTTCTTTAAGCCTTTCCTCTGGGTCTTTAAGCTGCAGTGCCTTAGTAAGTTAACAAGAACGTCTAAGATGACAGATCAGTAGCAGAATATAAACGGATTTTTCTAAAAAAAATGTGGAAACACCTTAAACAAAGTTCTGACCCTCTTGAAGTCAAGGGAACTTTTGGCAGTGAGTCTTCTGCATGTCTGACCTTGCTGTCAATACTTCCACAGCGTGGAAAGTGTAAATTATGAAAGCCCAATACTCAGTTCCTCTCATTGCTCTTCTATTATTTAAAAGCTAGAAATTGAAAATAGCAGATAATGCAGAGACTGCTTAGGTACGCAGCAAAGAGAATTCTTCCATGAGAAAATGCTAATTGTGACTTTTTTACTTAAGGCAAAACTGCCTTTTGGCATAGATATAGGAATGTGGGTCATAACAGAAAAAGACCAAACTGAGTAGGTAATAGATATGTTTAAGGCTCATGACCTTCTGTCTAGAACTCAGGAGAGTTCAATTTTGCTACTTGCAGCATCTTTCTCTTTCAATGGTATTTGAAAACCTTGATGATGAAGGAAGCATTTGAAAAGGGCAGAGTGGGTGTTTTACATCATGATGGTGAATAACCAGAAAAAAAAGGAGGGCAAAGAATCATGGATCAATCAGCCTATCTCCCAGTAGAGACTCTGAAGTAAATTTCTTAACGATGACTTTATAATCACCTGCCTTGAAGCCTTGTTACCTCAGTACAAGAATACATCACCTCTTCTCACCTTTCTTCCAAATTCTCAAGTTACAGCTGGCAAATAGCATTATTTTTCCAGCAATGGTAATGCCTTTGCACTTCATCAACACACCTGGGCCAGCTGCTGAGAGGGTCTAGGGCTGCTGAGCTGCTTCGGCTGGAGGCAGGTCTCCCCTATGCCCTGCGACTGCCTCGCCCAGCTGTAGCAGTGCAGTGCGGTCAGACTTGTTCATCCTGCCCTGCTAGGGAAGCTATTCCCGGCTTTTATTCTGAAATGATGATGTCAGGAAGCTCTTCAACCGATCCATCAGTACTGGCTGCACACTATCATCCTGGCGCGGTACCCTTGCATGACCATCTCCGATCGATGCTTTCTTCTGAGCGGAATATGTTTTCCAAAATCCTTTTGTCTGCCACCAGCCTCCTGCTTGCTATATTGCGGCATTTCCTCTGCTCTTTGATGCAATTCATTCCAGGTAAAATGCATTAATAAACAAATTGTTCTATTCCATCATCTTGGGAAG